ATCTGTGTAGTGATGAACTTCTTGCTACTTGAACTTTAGATTGTTTGGGTGAGCAAAATGGATGTATGGCCTCTTAAAGAGCTAATTAGGGATGCATTGAGTTATCATGTACAGGACCATTAAAATACCCTTCTAAAGATGGGGGTTTTTTTCTGTTTCTTTTTAAGTTGTATGTGTGTAGTAAACTTTAACCTCAGCATTGTTAAATATGGACTTAACACAGAATTTCTGTGTTCAAGGCAAGTCATTCCTGTAACTTGAAAATTGCTGTATCTCAAGTGGAATGAGTGAATATATTTCATTTGCTTTTTTTAAAGAGTTAATCTAAAGTGAAATAATGTAAAACAGTGCCATTGTTACAAACTTGTTTTATATAAAGGAGGCTAATATCATTGCAACATTTTCTTAAAGGATGCCAGACAATTATACGTAGAATATAAAGAAACAAAAATGAAGGCGAGAGAAGATGCCCTGGCTAGAGCTGAACTTGAAACACTTCCGAGTGAGTTTTTAATACTGTCTTAATACACAATCAATGTAATTTATTATAAGATACGTACTATAGAAGATGAATGGGAAAATATGCTTTCATTGTTCTGAAATTTGTTTTGCAAGTTATTTTTGCTGTCTGTTAGTGAAAGAGACTTCTGTGATATGACTTTTGAATTTCACTTAATAACCTGTGCTCTCATTTAAATTGGATATAGGTATGTCCGTGTATAAACATAACTATGTGATTAGTCAGAATCAAATATTTGTGCACTGTATAAAACAAATAACTGCTGAATTCCAGTAATTTGGAAAATAGTTTTGCTTTTGTACCAAAAGTACTTCTGAGTTTGATAATTTTTATAGGTTTATTAAAAAGATTGTATCTAATAAAATGTAAATTGAAATAAATGTTATTTAACAGTATAGGCAAAGAAACTCAAAAGTAAAGACTTTGTTTATGTTGAGGTATGTTGTTTTCAGAAGTGGCCTCAGGTTGTGAGCCTGTCTGTATTATTGTGTCTGAATATAATTGCAGGTATATTTTATAGTACATATGAGGTTGATTTCTGTGTGCTATAAAATGCACCCGCAGTTACTTGCACCTATAAAAACGTAGATGCAAACTTTGGGTGCAGAGTTGTGACACTGTTGAAATTGGAAACTTAGGGTACTAGATCTCTCTGCTCTTTAAATACAAGGTGAAAGCAATAAATAACTAGCATTCATATTTTAATATTGAGACTGGATGATATTCCCTTTTCTAATTCCTTTTTTGATCATAACCAGACTTTTAAAACTTGTTTTCAAAAGAAGCTAAAATGTGTTTGTTTGAATTGAGTATAATGCTTCTCTATGCGTTTTTGTATTTTGGCATGTGTACTAAAAGCTAGTAACCATTGTGGGGTATAGAGTACACATAGCAAAAACCCATAGAAATGTATAGTACAGTCCCATTTGCCCATGGTCTGAGTTTTGTAAAATCAGCAGTGATGACTCAGCATAATTTGGTACCATCTCCCCAAAGCCTGGAATGTAAAGATCATTCTGCTGTTCAGTAATTATAGGGTGCCAGCCACAAAGTTGGCCAGCTATATACTTCATCTAGCAAATTGTAGTATGAAAATGTGAACACGGCAATCAGTGTTTATCAGTAACTTTATGATATTAGACTGTATTGTCATTTTGTTTCGTTTGAATGATGACCTAGAGCATATCAATTAACAACTTTTAATATTTTGTTAAAAGGACTAGTTTATGGTGCTAGAAGGGCAAATTCAAGTAAGAAAACATTAAAATTATAGTGGTTAGTGATCCTGTGTGTTTATTATTTTTAAAATGGCAAATAAATGTTTTTTCAGCATTTTTCTCCTGAGTTTTGGGAGTGCAGAGAGAGGCAAGGGTATTAGTTATGAAACGGTGATTAGTAGAGTTTGTGGTGGAATTTGACACAACCTTAATTGGGCCAATGATACTGAACAGTGCTGTTACTAGCTAACCATGTGTGGTCCATCTTATATTTTAAAAATAAATGAATGTGTTGAAGGTTTACAACATTCAGGAGTATAGACACATAACATTACAGAGCATAGACATATCCAGTATGTTACTGAAGTCAGAATATGTTATGTAATAAGAATTCTCCAATGGTTACATGCAAAACAAAAAATCTTTTCAAGTTAAGTTTATTGTATACTTCAGAATTAGTATATAAATTTTTAAAATCCCCAAATGTGCATTTCAATTGTCCCTTTCCTTCTTAATTTTAAAGACCATCAGTGGACTACTGAGTTCATAATAACATTTCCATCTACGTAATTGAGTAAATGCATCTCATGCAGATTAGCAATAGCTGTTTTATGCTGCCTGTTTTTCATGATCTAATTGCTAATTTACCCTCATGTCCGTCTGCTTTACTGCTGAAATTGTGTAATATTCTCTGGGGGATCGAACTAGAACCAGTACAAGGGGGAATTCCATATAACTTGCAAATAGGAGATAATGCAGCAAGGAGGTCTCATTAACATGGGGCATTGCTAGAGAAGATACAAAGTGTGAAAAGGTAATTTCTCGATAAGTAAATATTATCCTACCAGGGAAATCTCTCTGCAGAATTTTAGCTTATTCTGTTGACACCTGTGCATGGTTCCTGTTAGCACTTCTCACTATATTCTAAACCTTTTTTCTCCTCATTTCATGTTTAAGTGTAAAATATAATTATTAAATTCTCCATAAAGTAGATGTTTGTAAAAATGTGGTTTAAAGAAAGTTTGTTTCTATTATTTATGTAATTATATGTAGCTATGTTTTTTTACTTACAGAGCTGTAAATAAGTAAATATTTTAACATTTGAATTTTCTGGTTTCTCCATTTAAATTCATGTGGTTTTCCTAGCAACCTAACTTTGTTACAAGGATACCAGAAGAAAGATACAACACAATTCCAAAGTGCAACTTTATTTGTAGACTCCCTGTGGTAAGGGATGTTCCTGTGACCATAGATAGTTCTTGGTCTAAATCCTGATATCAAAGAGGTGATTTATAACTCTAGTTCAGTGGTCACCGGACTGAATAGCCTTAGGACTACCAGCTGTCAGTTTTCTTAGTTGGAAACTCAGATTACTTAAAGAGTTTGAGCAACTACCAAGTCACACTCTGGCAGTATATGCTAGTTGGTTTCTCTCCTGTTTTGGGGAGTTTACACCACAGAGTTTCTGAAATTCAGAATTGTAAGGGTCTGCTTTTGAGATGTTGTTTTGTGGGTCTGTTTTTCAGAGAGGCTGAGCACATAATCCCATTTGAAGGCCAACTGAATCTGAAGGTGCTCAGGACCTCCGAAAATTAAGCCTGAGATCTACATCTGCCCAAATGTTAAAATAAAGATATTTGAGAAAGGGGGAAGACAAATGTGACTTTTGAGCTACCTTTCTGCCTCATCCATTCCTGAGGTCATCTGGTCCTGTCTTGACATGTCCTCTACACGAGGCAAGGGTATTGGATGGTGTAGCGCTGACTTTACACCACTGGGGGAAACTCCAGCTATCCATTTAGGGGAACTTTCCAGCTGCAGCTCGAAGCGAGTCCAAGGATCTAGCCAAATGTGTATTTACCTCTTTCGTTGTAGAAAAATAAAACATTTTGCTGTGTAGCTTTGGTTATGACAAACATTTGTCTTCCTTCTCTCTAATAAAAAAAAATTTGAATCTCCTTTTTAACTGAAAAGCTCAACTCAACATTAACCATGGAGTGGCTAGGAACACCTCTAAATCATGTTTCTGGGCAACACTAGTAGTAGATCATTTCTCTTTATTTTTGTAGAGGAGAAGAAACCTAAAGTCAAGAAACAAAAGTCGGAATTCCCTATATATACTGCTTCAGAATCTAATGCATATATACCATCATATGAACATGGAGTTTCTATTGAAGAGATTGAGGAACAGATGGATGATTGGTTGGAGAATAAGAACAGAGCGTACAAAAAAAAGGCAAGTTAAAATTTCCCTTTACATTTGTCAAGTACATTTAAAAGTTCTTCTTTGAGTGATTGCACATGTGCATTTCCCTCTTGATATGCGTGCACCCTGCACGCAGTCAGCGGAAATGTTCCCCTCAGTGGTACCTGACGAGGCTGCTTGAGCTCACTCTTCTTACCATGTGGCGGTGGTACCAGTATAAAGGGCCCAGCGAACCCTGAGTTCCCTCATTTCCTTCTTACTGCCTGTGACAGTCACTGGAACTGCTACTCTTGCTTTTGCAAGTACTATGTGACTATGTTCTCTTGTATTTTATTGTAAATAATTTAGTGTTATTAAGGATGCTCAAAGAGTGCCATACCAGTTCCGAGGATGCCAGTCTCTGCTTTTTCTTTGTTTGCAAACACCTTTCCCATTTCCTCAGTGCTTCCATATCACCGCAGACTGTTCGGTGTTGAGTACTGAGAAGAGGGATACACCCGCCAGTTTATTTCTATCCCTCTCACGAAGAGCTTCTGGTCCAGGAGGTTCAATCTCTCCCCTTATGTGGGAACCATAGAGGAGGTTTCACAGGATTTAAGAGGGAAGGGTTTCTTCTCCCATTATTTCCTAATCCCAAAAGCAAAGGGGAGTCTCAGACCTATCTTAGACCTGTGTCAGCTCCACAACTATCTCAAAAAGATAAAATTTCACATGGTCACACTAGCGTCTGGTTTTCCCTTTTTGGATCCTGGAGACTGTTACACCACCCTTGATTTAAGAGACACCTACTTTCATGTATTGATCTTCTGAGGGCATAGAAAGTTCCTCAGGTTCATAGTGAAGCACTCACATTATCAGTTCATGGTGCTTCCATTCAGCCTGTCTGCAGATCCTCATATGTTCACAAAATATATCGCCGTGGTAGCAGTCTTCCTGAGGAGACTAGGAGTGCAAGTCTATCCTGACCTGGACAACTTTGTCAGGAACCAGTTCACCACTGGGAATTTTGCATATCCCTTTCAATCAACCTCAAGGCCTCTTACCTCTTAGGGCTGTAGAATGAGCTAGCAGACTCCCTGAGCAGATCATTTTAAGTCACCTTGGGTGGTCTCTTCGCCTGGTTGTCACCAGTTGCATTTTCAGCAGTGGGGGACTCCCCAGACAGGTCTATTTGCAAACAAGTCCAACAGATAATGTCACCAATTCTGCTGCCTGCAGGGTTACAGTCCAGGCTGCTCACAGACACTTTCCTGCTACCCTGGATAAAAAAGTTTTGCTATGCTTTCCCCCCCAGTTCTACTCCTGCACTCTAAAGATCAAGCAGGACCATGCCCAGATTATATTAATAGCTCCAACATGGTCACACTCTAATACTGGTTTTCCACTCTATTGGATCTCTCAATAGCAACTCCAATCTGACTCCAGTGGCATCCGAATTTGATCTCCCAACAGCACAGTTGGCTGCTCTACCCAAACCTGCAATTCCTTCATTTAACAGCCTGGAAGCTCCATGGCTAAATCCCAGAGAGCAGGCTTGCTTGGAACAAGTTTTCCATGTCTTAAGTAGCAGAAAGCACTTCACCAGGGCCACCTACCTGTCAAAATGGAAAGTTCTCTGTCTGGGTTTGTCAAACCGGAGTCTCACTGATGAACTCGTCCATCCAACATATACTTAACTATCTAGGTTCACCTGGCAGCAATATCCGCTTTCCATCCTTGCGTGGATAACTGTTCTGGTTTTTTAAATGAAAAGGCAATCTGATTCTGGAAAGGTTGTACCCTCAATTAAGGTAGGATTTTCCCTGTGGGACTTGATCTTGATCTTGTCTATTTATGAGACCACCATTTGAACCTTTAGCAATGTGCTCCTTACTGCACCGTTTGTGGAAGGTGGTTTTCCTAATTGTCATTACTGCTGCCAGAAGGGTCTCTGAATTGCATGCCTTCTCATCCGAACCACCATACACAGCCGCCTTTAAAAATAAGTTGTACTTATGCCCTCATCTGTGTTTTCTCTATAAAGTAGTTTCAAATTTTTATGTCAATCAATTTACTTACCTGTATTTTACTCCAAACCACACACAAATAGGGAGCAGCAGTGGCTACACACATTGGACATTAGACAAGCACTGGTTGTCTATGTAGACAGGAACAAACTGGTTCAGTAATCCACCCAACTGTATGTGGCCATAGCGAACAAAAAGAAAGTCTTCCAATCGCCTTTCAGATAATTTCATCTTGGATAACTTCCTGTATCCACGTTTGTTAGGATCTGGTAGGCGTTTCACCACCAGACAAGATGACAGCTCACTCTACAAGGTTGCAAACACCCTCAATGGCGTTCCTAGCAGAGATCCCTATCCAGGACATTTAAGCAGCAACCTAGTTATTGGTGCACACTTTCTCCTCCCATTACACCATCACTCAGTACTCCTAGCGATGATGCCAATTCAGTCAAGCAGTACTACAATCTGTGTGTATGTGAACTCCAATCCCTCCGTTTATGTTACTGCTTAGGAGTCACCAAGAGTGGAGTGCACATGTGCAATCACTTGCAGAAGAAAAAATGGTTACTAACCTTTCGTAACGGTGGTTGTTTGAGATGTGTTGCATGTTATATTGGAGTACAGTGGGAGTCCTCAGCTAAACTAACAGGCTGGTGTATGCTGTGTCTCTTTGGAGGCAGCAAACTTAATCTCTGTGGGTATCTAGTGAGGACTGGACACTGCAGGAAGATGTCTCTGGTGAACTCAGTAACTGGGGTTTGCTGGTTGTTACCTGCAAGGCAAGGTTTTGACTGTATGTCTTGCTAGCAAACTCCTCAAGACTGTCAGTCTGGAATGACATACAATTTAGTAGCAGCAAAGCTCTCACTTGCTGAGGCAGATGGGTGACCCAGTGACGTATGGTTCTGGGTTCCCTGAGGAGAGCGTTACAGTCATGTAATGTGGTATATACCATGTGGTTACACCAGTATAATATCCATATGCTACCAAAGTCCAGAGAACTATAAATCACCAATCAAAGAACATAACGGCAATGTCCTCCTTCAATATTTGATTATATCAGAAGTTCAACGACTGTTACTAGAAGTGTTGTCATAATGAGATGTCGTGATTAATCAAAAACAGATGCAAACTCTGTGTGGTTGGTAATATAATACTCATCCTTTTGGTTAGACGGTCAGAGTGTAGGGTGGATTGCAGTTATATGGAGCTGTAGCTTTCTCTTAATGATTGTAGTTAATAACATGTTGGTGGCAAGGATAGTCTATTCTCCTGTTTTATGAACATCACTTTCTTCTTTTGAGTATTTGTCCACATGGATCCCATTGTAAGTGTGTGCGCCTTGTGTACCCAAGCCTGCAATCTTTTTCCAGCAATGTCTCTTGGGGCTACACATGCACCCTGTATCCCTTCACGCATTCCACGGCTAGGGCATAAAAGGCAGAGCACCCCCAACTGACACTCAGTTCTTCTCACTGCCCATGGTAGCAAGTTGGAGCCTCAGTGTCATCCTGGTTACCCTGTAGCATAGCTAGCTAAGGGTTTTTTAGCATTATTTAGTCTAGTAGGTTAGCTTTGGATGAGTTATATTTGATCATTGGTTTATATAAAAACAAAAATATTTTCTTCTTGTTTACACCTTAGTACTAAGGACTAGGTCTGATGGTGATGAGCAGGTCTGCAGGCTTTAAAATCTTCCTTGCCTGAAAGACTGCTGAGCCTGCTAACGATGCAAATTCAAAGTGTGCATTTGTTTAGGGGAGGTTCACATCTCTTTCCCTGTGCCATCTGTAATTTTTTTTCTAAGTGTACACAGAGAGCTCCTGATGCTCATTCGAAATTGTTCCTGATGGAAAAAATCTATGTGGAGTGTGTCTGACTCTGGGGTACACCCTCAGCAGCAGTCTCTTGCTTTGAAAACAGTTTCAACAAGTGTCCTGGCTATGAGATGCCACCCTGGGATATAAGAAGTCTTCTGGGTCCAAGAGACCTCGTGCTGTTAGCAAACACTGAGTTTCATCAGCCCTCTTCAGGTCAGTCAGTCTGTCTCCTATTACCCAAGGGAGGAAGGAACAAAGATCTCCAGGCACATCCCGGCATCAATCACTAGCCTCAGTATTGGACAAGAAGACAGTCTTCATAAGCCTTATATAACCAGGCTTCTATGAAACCACATCAGTACTGTGAGTCTAAGTCTAGGGATTCATGTTCCTTCGCCTCAGTGCCACATCCTATACTTTTGGGGACCCTCACTTCCTCAGTACTATATCCAGACATGACCACTTCTGGTACGCTAGCATCGGTACTGGTTGTCATGGTACCTTGGCTGGTGTTGCTACCTCCCTTGTCTGCTGAGACTGTGTTTTCATAACTCGTGTGTATCTTACAGTTATTTTGGAATCAGAGTCCATTGCTGGAGGTTTCTCCTTTGTCTGCAGTATGCAGAGCTCTGCCAGCATCAGAACCTAAGGTACTGAAGATAAAAATATCTCTGTGCCCCAACTTTGCGGGTACTGATGGCTATCTTTCATATGAGATCTAAGGGTCATCCAGTTTTACTCTTCAAGAATCTTCTCCATTAGAGGAATTTTTATTCATTTGCATCCTCATCTTTGCATAGTAGTTGGAGTCATTCTCCTAGGAGGTTTTCACCTTTGACTTGGTGATCTGAGAGTGCCCTTTATGGAAATCCTTCTTGTCATAGAATTCATGCTCCAAAAAAGTCTCATATTCCTGGTTCCCACCTTTATGGCACTTACAACCCCTTACCATTAGGACCTTCTGAGATCCTGGAACCTCAGAATCAGCAGAAGACGAAGGAGGAATATGATGTCCTATGTATCCCTCTAGGCATATCTTCATCATTGATTAAATTGATTTCTCATTGGGCAAATACATTGACTATAGACAACTTCAGAGCTTTCCGGGACCTCCTTGAAAGGATGATGGACACCAGCATCTTTCCAGGATCGCCTTAAAAGGCTAAAGATCCACCTGAAAGGTGTCAAGGAAAGAGCTCATAAA